GTGAGCTGCAAGTACCACACAATGAAACTGCAGCACTCCCAACCTCAGTACCAAAACTGGAATTTTAAAACTCTGGCCTCAGCAACTGACACCCAAAAGTAACTGCAGACCTATGAATATCCTGTAGGTACTTGACTATTAACACAAGCAAATTAAAGCATCAGTGCACATGCTAAAGCAATCAGCCCCTTGCTGACAGGGAGCAGCTGTGCTCTTCTCCAGACATTTGTGAGGATCACAGCACTGGAGATCGGGGTAATACAACAGCACAAGCTTGAACTCCACCTGCTCTCGGAAAGATGCATCCCTGTAAGCCACGTCAGACAACAAGGTCACTAAGCAGAAGCTGAAGTTTTCTGCCACTGGAAGCACACCTGCAAAGTAATGGAGAGAAAATCAGCCACTTAAGCCTTGTTAGAGAGAATCAACATAGAAAGAGCAAACTATAATAAAGCAAGAAGACACAAGTGACTCCCATGTCATAAAGTCCTGAGGCACACTGTAGATGAAATTATGATGGTTAGAGGGCTTGTACAAAATTTAGAAATCCTCTAACCATCATAATTTCAACATAAATGTTAAAAGAAAAATAAAGAGAAGTCAGAATTAAAAACCTTCCCAGGCTTTCAACTTATCAGAAATAAATCTTAATTATATAATACTGTATGGAAGTATTCTTACATTAAGGGAACAAAAAATTAAGTGGTTTAAACAGCAACTAAGCATCAAAGCTAAAAGTACAGCAACAGATCTCATGTTCCACTCTCCTACTCTAGCTACTACACAATCTCCTCCAATTTAGTAACAAAATATATTGAACACAGAACTATTTGGAAAGTGCAATTCATCAAAAGCAGCAAAGCAGGAAAACAGGGATCTATTCAACTTCCTTTGGCTTCTGAAGAAAATCAATATTAAAAGCTGTCAAGCCAGGAGCTAAGTAAGAACATAGCAGGACTTCTCCCCTCCCCTTGAACCATGTCCTGAACAACCTTTGCCATGTCTGTCTCCTGGCTGGCATTCCATGACAAAGATCAAAAAACCCAAACATCACCTCTGCCTTTCCGTGCATTGCTTTCTTCTATCCACTGGACTTTGGGAAGGCCCTTCAGGAGTCGCAGAAGGTAAGGAACCACGTGATCCTTGTGCTAAAGAAGAAAATATTCTATTTAAAATGGAGAAAAACAGCTGAACCATATAATCTTAAGATACTTTAGAAATACAGTAAAATTACATTAGCACACACAGAACTAGCTTCTAATGATTACTCCACAGGCTTCTTGACTATTGCAAAACTGATTTCCAAACAAGCAAATGAAAGTAACCCCATTCAGCACCTTAAATCCAAGCCTTTAACTCCAGGCAACAGTTCGTTCTCGTAAAAGCTGGAGAAGAAAGTTCCAGAACAGTACCTAACCCCAAACACTTTATTAATTGACAGCAAGCTCCCAAAATAAATTTAAGACAGCTAGAAATTCAGAGTGCCAGTGCCAATTCAGTACATGTGACACATCCCAGGGCCTTAGACAAGCCACTTAACACATCCATGTAACACTTCAGCTCCCTCACCCGCAAATCAAAGCACAGCACAGCTGCCTTATAAAAAAACCCCAACCAAACACAAAAAGAACAAAGAACAAGGTCAATAATATCCATGCAAGCTGTACCATAGCACATGGGTACTAAATAGGAGGCAATTCAGGCCTGATGCAAACCTTAGCAATATGAAAGAATTTAAAGTCAGGTCTAATAGCATTGGAGCTGGGACTCTGTCCATGCTTCCCCTCCTCTACACAGAACAATACCAGCCCCAGCAGTCACAGGGAAGAGAACCAGCTTGTGCTGGCCCTGCTGGCAGACACAGAAGGGATGCTTGTGTACAATGCAGCCTGTGTGCCCTGAATGTCTGTTTATCCTGGCATGGAAGGGCCTTTTGCAAACCTGGCCTTCAGGAGTGCATCGGAGCATCCCTGTCAGTCAGGAGCATGTGGGGAACAACACACAATGACACATCTGGTTTGAGTAAATCCTCCTGAATACTCTTTCCTTTCACTGCTTAAGCCATGATGACCAGAAAACACAGCAGCAGTTTGGCTGTGGCAGTGCCATGGCTACTGCCTATCACACTTATCAGTATTTCCTTGCTCTCCTGACAGCATCCATCCCTTATCTCTGATCTTTTAATCTACTTTTATGAAGAGCAAATACCAACTCTTCATTCATTGAACAACTAAACTTGAATTAATCCAAGATCTTTGAAGTTAAATAGGTAGCCTAAGTGGAAAAAATACCTGAAGGTCAGATTCAATTAGGAAGATTCCTAAAGCAATAACAGCATCCCTGCGACGTTCATCCAACTGGAAAATCCCATGGAAATCCACTGGACACATACAGAGCAGCTTTTGTACCTGAAAAACAGCAGAGGGAAAGAACAGTGGAACAAGACTGGAAACCAGACTGAAGCTTGTTTGAAGGGCACAGTGGTCTTTCCACCTTCTGGAATACATCTGGCAACATTACCTTCCTTCAGTCATCAATCCCAGTGAGAATATCCAAGGGCCAGGAAAAAGTGAGGAATGACAGAAACCAGAAAAAGGCAGAAAAATCTCAAGTAGATGTCAAACATTTTTACTACAACGTGGGTCAATTTAAAGGTTTTTCTTCAACACTTGACCAAAGTGCTGAAGTAGGATAAAGCCTTCGTTTCACTACCTCACTTTTAGATGTGCAGGAAATGAGCAGCAGGCACTTTCATTATATTTACTCAATTCCTGTAAACAAAAAATAGGTGGATGGAGCTTTAATTACAGCTGCACCAATGCCTCCTACATATATGGCACTGAACAATTAACTGTTACCAGCCTGTGTATGACTCCTGCTCAAATCCTTTCAACATAACAGATTAAGTATTCAGAATTCATATTTTTGCACTATTCACCTATTACTTTACTCCATACTTAACAAACACACATTTAAAGAATACATCCAACATTACAAATACTTTGCTCTTCGGCAGAATTGTTAACAAATGGGAATGCAACAAGCATGTCGTCTTTTTTACAAATTTCCTTAATGTTAATATTCCTTAATGTT